GACTAAAATACTTCAATTTAAAAAACCGTGCACTATATTTTCAGTATAGGGAGGGTGAGAAGGTAAAAAATCTTCAACTTTAAAAATATTAAATTTAAAGAATATGCATATCAAATTGTCACCTAGAGAAATTCAAACATTTGTATACTATTTACCCATTATCTGTTGGCAACTTAATCCCTTAAAATGACCAAATTTAGAAGTTTCTGATACAATTAATACAAATTATAGATTTGCTGTTAAATTTACATTACAAAAGTATATAAGATACTATAACTTAAAAAATGTAGAATTATTKAATGAAAATCTAAAACCCAAACACCACTTTCTTACTCATTATTATAGTAAGTATAATTAATAAGTCTAGTCCATTAAAATATTGTTGATCTTACGAATTTGAACCTTAATCTAAATAATAATAATTATATCTGCATACTTATTTCTAGTTCTTACATACGAGTAATACATTTTCTTTATAGTAAATAACAATGAAATAATTTTCATTATTGTGATGGCAGGTACTGATTTTATTGAAATTTCAGTATAGTGTATACTATAGTGTACGGTGTATAATTTGCTGGTTTGGTAGGAGTTAGTTGAGTGCTAACGGCCATATTGGATTTTTTGTAAGAAAATAACTTTCAACATACTCAAAAGTTGTACATGTTTGGCACGTGCATAGTAATTATACATTGATTTGATTTAGATAATACGCAAAATTTGCTAAATCGACCTTCCTCGGTTGCAAGCTGATCTATTAAAATTTGTGTACCATAAATATTAAGTACCAATATTATAATCTAAGAGAGTAGGTCCTGTCTAGATTTCCTAATGTTTGTTTTGAAACTATTCACGAGATCTACCTGACAGAAACCAAATAGGACATATTCTTTTTATACATCCCTAAAGATGCTAATGGTTTATTATGCTAAATATCTAGTTCTGGAAGAGTTTATTTATYAGTCATTTATTATCAAGATACACAGTTGGTAGCARTCATGAACACTTTTTACAACCCCCACTATGCAACTATTTATATATCTGCTGAGTAGTATTGCCATGTGCATAATTTGGTTTCCAACTGTGTTTCTCAATTCAAATAGAGTATAATAATAACTAATAAGTAATATGTTTGATACACTGATGTAGAGTTGTTTTAAAAGTTATTACGTATAAGGCATTTTTTTWWAATAATTTTATAAAGTCAAATGAAGTACATATTTTCTTAATAGACATCAATATAAAACTTTAAATAATTGATACATTATACAATATTATTTATAAACTATATTTCCTACATACAAACAAAARTGTTAAATATATAAATTAAACATTTATCTTGGAACTGAATATGGTTGTTCTTCTTCAGTTTCATGGTATTTGATGTAGCTTTTTTTGTGAGAAAAATCTTTTTTGTCTTCTTGCCAACCTCTTTCGGGCGCATTTTCATAATTGAACCGTTTCTTGGTTAGACCATAAAGATTATCAATTTCTTCTAAATCATCCCTAAAAATAGTAATTAAAAATGCATTTAATTAAACATTTTTTAAACAAAAAAACCACTGTAAATCATCTTATATTTACTACTAGTTATTGAAACTACTGAGTTCAAGGCTTTRATAAACGCTTATTTATACTTTCACAACTACTCATAATCAATAATTTGAAAATTTCAGAGTTCCAAGTTTAGGTTAATTTATATTAGACATAAAATAATATAAAACAACAATGGTCGGAAAATAGTTTATCAACATAAACATAGTCATATTTTACAAGGTAGTATATCATATTTACACTTAGCAATGTCAGATATCATATAAGACMWT